TATTTACAATGTCAAACATTCTGATTGGTATCTCTCTGCAATGTTGTCTGTGACTATATGGTATGTCTACACAGGGAGATAACCGTGGATAGATAAAATAAGTACGTAGAACTGATACATAAGTATGCTGATTTATCTGCAGTAACACCTTTATAGGTATAAAATAGTAATTTCTGAATTAATGTTTTGAGAGTTATATCTTATGAAAAGCAAACTATACTTTGAGTGAATATCTCGTATTCATATTGTGCAACACCTGTGACGAAACTGATCATACGCATTAGTTTACGTGTGTTACAAATGTGTAAATGTGTAAAAAAATACTATACTTTCCGGTAATAAATGGCCATTTAAATCACAATATTTTACAAAATTGCTTAAATCAAGTTTGGCATAAACCAAGCTTATAATTGTATACAAGAAAGATTCGAGATGCCACTGTAAGTTTTTTTTTGTGGTTTCTTCTCTCTTCGTGTGAACTTCACTGACCCTTAAATAAATTCATTGACTTAAATATTTGAGCACTGGTTAAAATATTTATAAAACAAATTACCATATAGAAAATAAGGTGCATCATCGGGGCAAATGATTAGTCCTAGAAAACCAATGGCCTATACCGGCAAATTAGACTGATAATTTATTAAACACCCAAACTTTTGAACTTGCTGCTAAAGCAGGTATTATCGTGTTTATAAGCATAAGAACATTCAAATAAATGTAAAATGTATAACGGCTTCAAATGCTTCACTAGTTCAAGCAGTCTCTTCAAATATAAGGAAAAGTAACTCTTAGCTTACAAGCTCAACATGTTTAACCTGAATTACTTACCTTGTTTTTATTTTCCTTTCTAATGTGCAATATCTCTGCAACATCATAATCACTCCTGTTATTATCACCATAATTACTTTATAACTAAAACAATCATCATCATCATCATCATCACCATTTTCATAACCATTATAAGATAAGAAATTCATCGAGACCATCATCATTAAGGTCATCATTATTTTCAACACAATTATCTCATCCACCTTCATGATCATCATCATAATCATCATCATCATCATCATCATCATCGTCGTCGTCGTCGTCGTCGTCATCGTCATCATCATCATCATCATCATCATCATAATTATCATCATCATCATCATCATCATCACCAGTATCATCATTATCATCATCATTATCATCATCAGCAGCATCATCGTCAACATCACCGTCATCATCATAATCGTTATCATCATCATCATCATCATCACAATCACCACCATTATCATTATCATCATCATCATCATCATCATCAGTCATTATCATTCATCGTCATCATAACAACATCCATCATCATCAACCAATATTATCATGTAAAGTCATCACCATCATCCAAACAATAATGATCATTATATTAAATTATCATCGTTTGGTATAAAATTAACCAGAATCATTATCAAACAGATACATATAACAGATAAAAGAAATTGCAATGTGTAAAAGATATTCGCAAGCAGGTGTATTTTATTATAATTTCAGGACTGGTGTAGCTGGGTGGTGTAAACAGTTATTTTGATATTTACATTCATCACGGGTCTTGATCTATAATCTGTTTTTGATATTTCGGGATGCAAATACAGAAATAAGTATGGAACATAGAATAAAATAACTCAGTTTTTTTGTAGATAAAATATAATAATATTTTGTTGTAAATTTTAAATTGTGTTTTAAGGAAATAAAAAAACAATGATTCCATTCCAATAGAATCATTTATGACCAATATGTAGTGATTGTTGTAAATTGAAACCCAGTGTCTCTCAACGTGTACTAGTACGAAGTTGTTATACAGCTCTTGCTTCACACCTCCCGATTCTTTTAGGTTTGTGTAATGTATGTTGAAATGGAAGTTATGGTATAACATCTTCAGAAAAAAAATTAGTATTTTCCATCGAATAACTTGAAAAGTTTTTAATCATCACAGTCACACAGTTCACAACAATCTGCACAGACGTCACAGCAATCTGAACAGAGGTTACAACAATCTGTACAGCTTGTACAGCAATTAGAACAGCCGGTACTGTCATTTGAACGGTTTCTATCGTTACTGGAACAGCCTGTACAGCAAACTTCATTGCAGCACAGATCAAAAATGGTTATCATACATGTACAACACTCCTCGTCACCATGGCTACAACTACACAGGATATGTGACCGGAAGCATGATTTAACGCAGCACTCACAATGATTTTGACATGTTTTATCGCAACAGCAGAAACACTTTATATTTTCTGTGTTGTATTGTTTAAATCGTTTTCTAATTTTTCTTTCTCTTTTATGTCGAGGCTGATCTGTAACAACTGGTGATTGATTTAGAGGCACATTTTCAGGATTCCTGTGAATGTCTTCGGCGTTTGTCAACAAGTCACTTATCGGCTGCATGACAACAATGTCGTCTGCTTCAGTACAAGGGCCCGCGAGATGTTTTTGGTCATTGATGATGTCACAATCATTAACACAATTTTCCGAGATAGACGTTTCTTGTGAGACACCTTGTTCAGAAGTTGTATTTTCTTTCTCAGTTGACATTTCTCTTATACATTTATGTACGCGTTTTAGTATGTAAACTGTTTGAATCTGAAATATATCATAAAAATGAGGTCATTTGATGAATGAAAGGATTTATCTTACAACTATTTATTTCCAAACACAAGCTGATTTGCTCAACACAGACTAAACTAGCTATTGTTTAACTGGCTTCCTCTCATTATATATTCAGATATAACATTTTTGAACAAAACTTATTCTTTTAAATTACATTTTTTAATCCCATTTAATTTCTAAGTAAAACAAACAAAAACATGTAGGTAAAGTGTAAATATGTTAATTAAGTAGCACAGGTGTTAATCCTGTTTACAATTCGCTATTTAATTATATGTTGATCAAATTTTATCATAACTGATAGATAAGTGAATATATCAGTTGTACATAAAACAAATCAATATACATGTTTATCACTTAAAGTTTATTTTAACTACATTAACTTGATTTTAAATCCATGATTACCCATCCGATCAACTTTATATCCGAATTATCAAACATTTACCTAATAAATCACGTTATCCTCATCATAAGTTAATATCAGATCAGATAAATCATCATGATTACAACATTTACACGATGATGATTTAGTCAACATGTCAATTTCACAGCGATAATCCAAACAACAGAGAGCACAACTGAAATAAAATGTCCAGCCACAACAAAAGTCAAAGCAGCACTCGGCACAAGTATGGCAGGTAGAGGTAATACTATTTGTCGTATTTGATGTTACTGTGCCTTGTGGTTTCGTATCCCCAGGTTGGTTTAAAATAACGTTCTCTTCTTCGTTATTAATAATTTCATTATCGTTTCCACTTGTTTCCATGATTTGAATACATGTATATCATATGTTTTTGCCTTTTTTTCACGGAACATTTGCCATCTTACGTCCTTTAGATCTTAAGCTTTGATATAATGTGTCACAAAAGTATAGTCCATCAAAAAATACTATAAAGACATTACACAAACAATGAACGGTTGATTGTTGTCCATTCAATAAACAGTTTCAGTAATTCATAATTATAAACTCATATAAATGATCCATGGAGGATATATGTAATGTTTCGTAGTGTAATTTATTGAACGAGTATCCTGTTTAAATGGATATCACTAACCAAATAACAATTTATCTTCCGCGTGTTTTGAAAGTGTTTAAGGGCTTAAGAAAGATTACGTACAAGCGGTATGGTATGTAACTGGGTATTAACCAGTTTAAGAGTAAGATACTAGTAGATACTTCCTTCTAGTTTGATTTTGATAATTTTCTGAATCGATTATGACTCATAACTACTGCCTTACAACGTGTTAACTAGCAAGATTTTCAGCGTTACCGTTCTTTTTTACTGTGACGGGTGCAGGTGCCGTAAAAATGAAAGAACAAATTAAAAATATGCGTTTTTATACCAAAACTAGAACTGCACCAGCTATTAATTTGAAACTCGAAATACATTTATTTCCTCTTGCTGATGTAATTTTTATAATTCGACGAAGTTAACGTTAGTCATTACTATAGGTGATAAAAGGTAGTCTACATGAGTATATTGTCAGCTGGTAAGATTTTTTTTTACTGTTATATTTAATATTTTAAATTTATAGATTCTTCATATATTAGGCTCGTAAAAGTATACTTCCAATGCTTGTCGCCAGTCGCCACGTGTATTCGATTAGAAATGAAATTCAACCTCTGCAATTGACAGTGACTTCTTTACAATAACCGCATAAATAATGCAATCTTTCTCAAGCAACACACAATATATATGTGAAGTTCAGCCTATATTGTATTGTATATAAATGTATGGGTTCAAAAACAACAGATTCTTTAAAAGTTAAATAGTTTTATGATCTTAATGTATAAATGTTATAAAAATGCTAAATCTGCAATAAATACAGGTAGTAGCAGTTATTTTACGTAAACTAGTCTATCTGTAAAAATCACTTAAAATAAGTGAATATCAAAAATTCTAAACTGAACACGTTAGCTTCACAAATATTATTGCGTTAATAAATATATAAAAGAAACACAGAAAACAAATAAATGATCATAGTCAATATATAAATATGAAAAAAGTCTTTTACAATGTCTAACTTTAACTTTGTTTAAAAGGACAGGTATTATACATTTGTCTCCCTTTCACTTTGCGCACACCGTTAATACTTGGCATTTTGTTGTTTGTACATTGATACGAATTCCATATTTGTTTAGGAGACCTTTAGATAATCTCAATCGTCTCATGAATAATTACAAAAACAAGATCTACAACCTATTTGTCTGTTACATTTGGCACATGTGCACCAACACTCCTTCATTAAACATCGTCAGTGTCATATTTCAATACATTCGAACTGCTGCCGTCACCGTTGATTGTTTTGAATGTTTTGAATCTCAGGACATGTAAATCATAGTCATGTATGAATTAAAAACCACCAAAGTCGCAACCACTACATCCATCGCAACCACTACATCCATCGCAACCATCACATCCATCGCAACCATCACAACCATCGCAACCATCGCAACAATTACACCCATCGCAACAGCACGAATCGCAATCGTTTTCACACAATCCGAAACATCCTTTACTACACAACTTATCTAGACATATACAGCACGGGTTATGACAGTGGCATACATTGTCGTTACAGTTATGTCCGCAAGGGCAGCTACTCTGGCAGTTATCGCAACATCCATCGCAGCAGTGCCATTTACACTGTATACAATCACAACATCCCGCTAAACACCCAATATAACTATCAAAGCATGACTTCTCTACAAAGTTTGAGTAACAACCACCATCATCACATTTACAGCAACAGCAATGATGTTGATCGCAATGACATTCACATACACAACAACAACAGCAACAGCAACAACAATTGTCATTATGGGGTCCATAGCAATCACCACATCCCGAGTTAGCACTATTTTTATCACAAGAACGTCTTCTAGGTTGTTGTGTTATGACGTCATTATCTGTCAAGGCCTCTCCTGATACAGGTTGCTCGCTAACTAAATGTTCTAAACTTATTCCTTCTGGGAACGCTCCAGGTTGTGTTGTAATTGGTGCAACTGACGTCATTACCAAGGTGTTCTTTACTTGTATCTTTTTCTGTCAATATGAAAGACCGCGCGGTAACCAACTGTCACATTTAATTAATATCTATCTGATGTGACACACTAATTCTTCTTTGATTAGAACTTGAAAATAATTGAAATTCAAGGATTTTCATTCTTGAAACATAAAAGTTTCCGTTTCTGAATGTATTGTATTCAAATGTATATACCGAATTTAAATGTATCGTCTGCTTAAATTGCCGTTCACTACATAAATCTTTTTTAAAAACAAAGTGAAATATAGTATCCTTCTATATTTAAGAGAGTATCCTACCAAATATTTATACCTTTTGGTTAGTTACTGTACATAAATATACACGTGGTCAATCAAGTATTATGATATTTAAATCGTATTATAAATACAGTATTGTAAAATAAGGACAGACAGACGATGTATAAGTATTAAGTTTAATAATCGATAATCGATAATGGCAATACAGACATGCACGCAAAAATAATAGTCGACACTTGCAGATATTATGTAAGCCTGTATTATTTGTAATATAAAGATTAGTTTAATGACATTGATATTTATTTTTGGAAGTAATATATATCATACATCGAAATGATAAATATACATGTATATATATTTCCTATTTATAATAGTTTGGGTTGATTATGACTCTTTCCCGATAACTATATTGTAGGGATAGGATATTTTTCCTAAGAATGTTAAGTAGTCTGTGGCAAGCAACCGAAATTTTTTTAGTATCTTTTTAAGTGAGGTAAACATTTTTAAAATCTAATTTCCAAGAAATTAGCCAATATATGAAAAGACAATATGGTTATGTTTGAATGATAGAACTAAATTGTAGAAAATTTCCTGATGTACAAATAGTTTAACCAAATCAAGAATGTATTTTTTCAACATTTTTATACATGGTTATATCTTTACGGGTGATTTTATAGGTGCTATAACACATGAACACCAGGTTTTGGTTGTGTGCAATTAAGATGTGTCATTCTTGTTGATTCTGTGTATGTGAATTTATTTGAGATGAAAAAGGAAATGCTTAAAGCAATTAAAGTATATATGTTAATTGTAGAGGCCTAAAAAGAAAAACAATCTAAATTGTTTGTACAAAAACATCCATATGCAAAATGACTACTATAATTATGCCAAGGTGATTTAAATTAGTACAAAATTCAAATTTAAAAAATGTCTTATACTTTCTAGAAGAAAGTAATTAAACGTTGATTTCTTTTGGTGCATAATCTCATTCATGTGTTCAGTATCTTCCTAAAACAGTATGTAAAGCAGCATGACTTTACTTTATTTGGAACGAAACAAACGTAGACCACTTTAACATTGCACATTATATTTAAGTGTCTCTTCAATATTTCAAGGTTGAATGAAACAGACAAATATATTCTTTATTATTACAAAGGTTTTATTTATTCATGCATTTATGTGACTTACAATCCCTTACATATATGAGTAGCGCCATGACAAAACCAACATAATGGGTTTGCGACCAGCATGGATCCAGACCAACCTGCGCATCCGCGAAGTCTGATCAGGATTCATGCTGTTTGCTTACAAACCCTATGATAACTAGAGAAACTGATAGTGAACAGCATGGATCCTGATCAGACTGCGCGGATTATTATGTTGGTTTTGTCATGACGCAGCTTATATGTGTGTTGATAACAGAACGATCCTAACCGAGGATAAACCAAACAAACAAAAATTGAGCATGAAAAAGAAATAAATTAAAACAGAAAAAAGCAAAAAAGACAAAAAAGGAAGACATACAAGAAGAAAGAAAATAAACATTAAATAAATGATAAAAAAGATATGAAATATCTCATTATAAATGACACTACATATGTTACCATATGTATAAAATATAATAATTATTTCGCTATTTTCGATCGATAAAATAAATGTATCGCGAAGAAAATCTAAAATAAGAAGGAATGATAGGGAAAATTTTCAAAATACGTTCATTGACCTTGTTACTGGTACTTGGAATATTTAGTGTAGTGTTGATTGAAGAATGTGTATCAATGTCACAGTTTGTAGCCAAGGTATTGGAGCTACAGTCGGGCGGACAGGGGCAAATTCTTGAGCTTAGACAGCTGGTGTATAATCATGAACGGAGACTTAATACTATAAAGGGGTACGTAAATAATTTCTTATCAATTAAAGCATTTAAGATAATAGATCAACCCGCATTTTTAGAATTCTAAGCATTTGAAATGATAGATCAAATCATATCTTCTTTTAAGAAATACGGCAGATATCATCATTAATAAAGTTAAAAGCCGCTGGTTTTGAATCACCAGGCCCTCAAAACTACTGCTTCAAATCCTGTGGGAGAGAGGTAAAGGTCACTGCCATTGCTTAACTTCCCCTCACGGCTAGGGGTTACAATAATACCATTAAATGTAATGATACTACACTGCTAGGTTTCGGCAGGTAGATGACTCTACCCGTTTCCCGCTCATGTGCAACATTATGAACCTGTCCAGTGAAAACCTCCAGAGTCACCATATGGAATATTCAGAGTATATTTTGTTTTTATGAAACAGATGATGGTGTTTCGGGGACTACTATGATAGTGGATTTGTGCCATATCGTTTTTTCGCTCCGCGGGAGGCCAGGTGAAAACACGAAAATAAGACAAAGTGGCGACTGTCGTATTTTCGTGTTTTAGCATTACAAAAGTTAGGCAAAATGTTGGCTGACGCCTCGCGGAGCGAAAATTCGACATGGCACAAATCAGTCACCAAAGAATACGGATCACGAATTGAAAGACAATGCAACCATATGAATAAATTTAATGACTTTAGAAGACAAATATGTCACTTTGTTTTTTTATTCATAATAATTCAAAATAGCTCCTCAAATTATATACATGCACCTTCTTTATTATATTCTAAACAAGATATACTGTATATGTGTATGAGGTTGTAGATTTAGAAATGGGTGCAAACATTTGTGTATTAAAGTTTCTTTAACTCGCTCACCATTGTAAACAACTGCAGATCTGGTCTATTTTTTTCAGATTAGTAAACGAGTTAGATGACTTATCAGGCGAAGAGATCCGGAACCCTAATTTCACAGTTCATCACCCACTGAACGCCTACAGGTTCATAAGGAACCATTCAGTTATTTACAATCAAACGGCCATGAAACTGCTTGAAGAAGTTAGCCTATACGAGCAAGGTATTTTATATTGTCTATTTATTGTTGTTTTGATTATCTTTTTTTTTTCTACTTTTCTATGTAAATTAAAAAATGGTATATAACTCATACATAAAATTATGGTAATAGTTGTTATTGGGGGTATCTAAATGGACAATATTATTACTGGCGTATTGGATCGTTTTTACTTGAATGATAACAAGTTTCTGAGCGTTAGATAATATCCGGCTTAAATATTATTAAAAAAATAAATGTTTTCCTTCATTTTAAACTAAATTATTCACTGTAAGATTTCTAATGGCTTTGTAAATTATGGAGCCATCTGTAAAAAATTTAGAAGCCTTTTCATAATTTTGTTGTATTTGTGTGTTTTATTTTATTGTTTTGTTTAAAATATAAGCTGGAATTATAACTATGATTTCGCATTCTTTACTCTTATCACGCTAAATATTTTAAATGGACTTGTCCTTTTAAACTGGACAAAAACATTTCAAATACATGTATTAGGAGAAAAAATTCTTGTTATTTACTGACTGAATGGCGACTAGCAGACGGCACTGATCGCAAGTCATATTCAGCTTCCGCGTTTAATAACATGCATTTAAACAGAACGTGAAGAAATGGACAAAATCACAAGCAATTTACCCGCCGTGCAAGCAGACGACATTGAAGAAACAGTTCGTGGTATATTGGAGCTACAAATAGAGTATGACATACACACAAATGATATGGCTGGCGGTATATCCCTCGGGGATATTAGATATATGATGACCGCACAAGAATGCTTTGATATGATGGTGGGGGCTTATCAATTACAACAACATGACCTGGCATTCGAATGGATGGGGGAGGCGTTGATGAAGACATCTAGAGGGGATACCAGTACAAGTTCAGATGTCATATTAAACAAAGCTGTTGAGATGGCTGCAAAGGTATAATAACGCATCTTTACGACAGTTCTCAAAAAATGTTTTCGTCTTTGATAAAACCTAAGAATAACAACTATAGAAAGTTAGAAAGTCAGAGCTTACATTTTGTACCTTTTATCGTTACTTTTGATTCGTATTATATATAATCATGTATAATTTTCTACTTTCATGATAAGAACTTAAAACAATTCAAGTTGGTTTTTAAAACATGTTTTACATGTATCCATTTCAGCCACAAGCGCAAACTACACTACTATTCTGTCAATATATCTCAAACAATCACCCTTTACTTATTTACCGCCCCGTGAAAACAGAACTGTTGTCCTTGGACCCTGTTATTGCTGTGTATCACGAATTGTTTAGCCGAGATATTCTAACAAAACTGATGAAATCCGTCACAGAAGGGGTAAAACGCTATTTTAATTGTTTCATAGCAACAGTAATTGTAGAAGATTTTAAGTAAACAATTATTTCTTGCTGTAGGAATAACCAGCTAATAAAATATTTAGTTCAGTCAAATAAGTAACAAAATCATTTTGGAATAAAATATAGGATATTTCGAACATCCCATGTATTTCGCACACTATTCTAATAATTAGTTATCAGAGATATTTTTCAATTAGTCAATTTTTTTAAAGAGTACACCTGTTATCATTGGGTTTATTTGTTTGTATAATGCATTTTTTATTCTGTATAAATTGATGCTATTTTTTTTCTTATAAGCAAAACAGACAACCATTTCGGAAAACGGTTAGTTCGAAATCAGGCGTTCGTCGAGTACGGGTAGGTTTTAATTAACCCATCATCTTTATTAATTACTGATTTATATCTTAAAATAAACGTGGTATAATGCTTAGATTAAAAAAGAGATACATTTTAAATACTCCGCTAAATTCCATCATGTCTGCAAATTGAATGCACGTTTACTTTTTATATTGTTATTGTTAAGTTATATCCCCCACACAAAACAACAACAACAAAAACAACAACAACATATTATTTATATCGTCATGCGATTCACATAACAAATCATTCTTTATAATAAAAATAATGCAAATACTATTTTAGAGTTTGAGAAAGTTTATATGATATCCTGAATGCAGACTTAACCTAAAACGTCACCGTAAGATCTACTACAATTGAATATGAGTGGTTTTACTTAAATTTCCGCTCGTACCCAAAGCTACAGTAGATCTTCAACCATAAGTAATGACTGAACATCACTTTACGAACTTCATAGGGACATTGTATGCACGTGATTGCATACACACAAATATAGACATTTGTATAATCAGTCAACCTTGTTAAAAATTTAATATCGCGTCTAAATCTTATATATGTTACAGGCATTTTTTAGAAAGTAGGCATTTTGTAAAAATCCCTGAAATGTTTAAATATTTTGTAAAATAACTAGGTGTTTTCGTCATTTTATAAAATAACTAAAATTTTCTGGAATTTTACATAATGCCTTGAAATATAAGCAGGTATTTTGTAAGATGTCTAATGGCATTTATGTATATGATTACAGGAAAAGAAATGTTATCAAATATAGTAAAATAAATTCAATTTTATATATATTATCTCTAACAGGTCAACAAGTCCACGTGGCAGAAACAAAAAGATCAAGAGAAACTAGGTGTAAGGTGAAGTGTGCTTCTTGTATCGGACGAATATATTGTTTCCAGGAAAATCAGTGGCCCAGAGAATGCTAAAAAATATGTATTCATCTATGGTGGCTGATTTGTGCCATTCGTGTTTTCGCCCCGCGACCCCGCCAAGCGAAAAGTCAAGAATTATCGAGCAGATGGCGGGGGCGCGGAGCGAAAACACAAATGGCACAAATCAGCCACCATATTCATCTCATATGATAAGTTTCTGTTTAATTCTATTTAGTTCCACGATTTTCATAGTTTCAATTGACATAAATATGTTTAATTTATAATCTGTACCCATAACTATAATAGATTAAACGATATTTTACAGCAGATGTTTTCCCGGTAAAATAATACACATATAACGTTTGATAACCGGACACCTTTCTTGCAAAACAAAGGTACATGTAATTGCAAAATGTAATGAAACGGAGACCAGCAGAAAATAGTGTTGAACTAAAAGAATAGTCCTCTTTTTAATTTGATAGGACGGTCGAGCATTCAGTGGAGAGGGAATATATATACAGATATATTGAAGCACTGACGTCATTGAAATCTGGCACGTTCAAATATTTACAGGTATTTTACCGATGTATATGTATTTTCAAACAACAACATTCAATTTAATTTCAAGTAACTTTATGAAGGTATTAATGATGAACGAGTTTGTCATCAAGGGAGGTAATCAATAATTAGAATATAATAACGATTTATTTGATGATAAAATGATTCAATACAGTTTATCTTTCGATATATGCATGCACATAGTTCTGTCACACAGATTAAGATAAATACTTAATGAAACATGAACTGATTAAGGATGCGTCCGATGTAAATTTGCACAATCTGCAAATATTTCTCGCCGTTAATTTATTTAAAATACCCTACATGATTATACAAAGGGTACTAACTTTGTAGGATTGTGTTGCACTTTAAAGCAATATATTACCTCCCTTTATATGGTTATATAATTCATTTCCAGATAAGTGGTGGCAAGTATTACAAGGATCTCTCCTATCAAGATAATCAAGTATGTTATAAATGTGGAAATATATAAGAAAAGTACAACTATGAAAGTCTTTTTAATATGAGACAGAAATAGCATCGATATTGTTTCAAAAATCTCTGAATGAATGTGTGGGATATGTTGTTAGAAGATTGCTGTTAATGTTATCAATATAATTTACTCATTTACACAATTTTAATTTTGTTTGTATTATTAATGTATTTTTACATATTTTATTATTAAATACTTGCAATAAAATACTATTAAACTACCTCTAAACTATCATTGTAATTTTGTAAGACATTGAAATTGTCGAAATATTCCGAACTTTAACGAGTTTAGTTAAATGGACGTATACTCTGAAATCTTATTGATTTATATGGATATGTTATTTTTCCTACAGGTAATACGAGACTCCATTGATATAGCCAGTTTCAGGATATATGTATGTATCAATCGGTTTCATGTTTGTATGTATGTACATGTATTTTGTGTTTAAATGTGGGTACATCCGCCCGTTAAGACATTCGCGCGCCCCTACCATCCCTGGCTACTTTGTAGGGCCAATCCTCTCGACTTTAGTCAGGACATCGGCAGCTGGTCCGCAGGTACAAGTTCTGGACTTTGTTTATATATCGCTATCCGAGTTCTCCAAATCTTCTTCCGATACGCGACGTACATGCACCGATGAGGTGATTCAATTTCAGCTGCATAATATATTATATAGTTTATATAAGCAAGCGCATACGTCACCTAATGTAAAGAGTACTGTAAAAGCAAAATATTATGCTGCCATTTTAAGTAGGGTTTTAACCGTTTAGCAATAATTTCGTATATGCGCCATTGGCTCTTAAGGGAAAACAATCATACAAAATTATTTCTTTTTTCAAACAGGTATTTCGGAATTATTTCTTTCCCGACCTTGAACAAATTTTTGTAAGCTACAAGTGGAATATATACATAGCTTTATACACTTAAAAATAATTGAATATGATTGAACTTAGTAAAAATAATTTAAAGAGCTTTCGTTGTTGTAGTGAAAATAAAAAAAAAGTAATAAGTGAAAATGATGAAAATTAAAGTATAAAAAAATAAATCTATCATCATATTTTATATTTAAAAATGTAATCATTGACATACAAATACAAATATATTACAAATATATTACATTATTTAAAGCATTGAATTTAAAGGAGCACGCCTCCAGATTCATGCTAATTTTCATGAAAATTTTGAAAATGTATCTAAAATTTAAAATATTGTGAAGTGAACAAAGAAAATAATTTACACATTGCAAACGGCACGGAACAAATATAAATTACCAAAAAGAGATCAAAATATGTAAAAATAGCCCTTATTGTTTGAGTAAGGCAGTAGACATGTGGTGATAAATAGTGCAAAATCAGTCGGACATAACATGTAAATGATTACCTTAATTTTAGATTTTTTTCCTTAAACTTAAAGTGTGATATTTTCGCTCATCTGGAGGAATACAGCTTTAAAATAGGTCTACGGATAATGGCAGTCAGTTTGAATAATAATTTGTACAGTAGTAATAGCGAGATGAAACAGAACTTGTGATTTAAATTGCAGTAAACTTGATTAAATGAATAGGTCTTTTTAACTATTCAGTTTTCATTTCTAAAATGTATTCGGTTAACTTAAAGATATAATACAGTTAACACATTCTGATTGTTGCTGAAGGATAAACGCCTAACTGAAAATTATATCAATAAATAAAATGATTTTAATAACAGCTGACTGACGTACAAATGGGCGGAGCAACAGTGTTCACAGATCTTGGACACGTTGTGTCTCCTGTAGCGGTAAGTAAAATACCGAAGTGAAATTTTAGACTATGCCTTAATTTCTAAAACAAAAAATGATTACCTTAACCGCAAGTGCAAAACCGGGTCTGTCTGCGTATCATTGCAGTCGGGTCTGGCTTAATATTGTCAGTAGCAGCTTAAAGATCCTGTGCGTTGTAATTAAGGATGTAACACTTTAAGTGAAATTTTATATATGTATCTGAAACAATTTTCAAACATACAAGAATGTGTTAAATATGTACTGCAAATGTTTATTCGCATTATAAGTAATCATTTAAGTTTATGCATTCATAAACTTATTGAACAATTTAGCTTTGACTTTATCCAAAATAGATTTTCTAATTACCTCCCTTTTTCAGAGTTTCAGAATCAGATTTTTTATATAAAACATTAAGAATTTAAGTAACAGGATCTTTTATTTTGATATTGAAATCCTTAACTGTTCTAAATGCTAACATTAGTAAATTCATTACACATATATAAATCAGGTTAAGGGTTACCTTATATTTTTACAGGGTACTGCAGTATTCTGGTACAATCATGCGTCCAACAATAAAACGATAAACGGTGGAAATATGACAGAGTTCCCTGCACCAAAACAAGACAAATGGGTAGCTACTGTTGTAATACAAAATGACAAACAATGCACTATTAATCGTTTGTTTAACTGACAATTTATTTTAATTGACTGCACATGTATAGTATTGAGATGGTCAAATATATGGTCAGTGTTGATAAGTTTCTGTGGAGACAAAATATTGTTTATTATATATATGTTTTGCATGTTAAACGTTGCAATATTCAATAAATTGATTTTGTTCTATATCCAATATATATATTGTATAACTCTAATTCTATATTCTACACCATAATATTTATTCAATCCTGCTACATATTTTTTCATCATAATAAATATTTGTGTGCGATAATTTTCTATATATATATGTTCTATATTTGAAAATATATATTGTATGGCGCACGGTATAACTTTAAAATTTGACGTTAACGACGTCGCATACGTATTGTCTTTAACTACCAAATCTTAGAGCTACAACCGGGCGTACGATCGTTGATAAAACGGCACCTCTTTACTCATTTACGAAGTAGGCCATTACGTGTTTCATATGTTGTTGGTTGCGGCGGATCCACAGCCTATATATATATGTATCTGTACTATATGTATCTGTACAAATCGGTATCAAACTGTATTGTAATCGACTGTATGATTATAAATGAGCTCTTGTAATGACGCAAACTTCCGTACTTTCCTTCTGTAACTTGATTTTTGGAAAATCGCACATTCAATAAACTATTATATGTCTTATATTACATTTTGTAATATAATTTTGTTGCATGATAACGCAACATACATACGAGAAAATAAAAAAAAAATACAACTAAGAACAAAATTGTCATCATTTAAAACAAAAATATTACGCATAACCAATTTTGAACGGGACGGTTACATTGTTAAAAAAAATTCACCATTAGACCATTACGTAGTATAGTAAAATGATTTATATAATTGTAAACTATCACACTGGCCATAGCTTTCGCATAAGCGGTGGATTCATCGCAGCGGCGATGGAGATTTCGTCGCAAGAAGCGGCGGATAAAATATGGCCGTTTGTTGCTGTCGGTAGGTTTATTACTGAATTTTGCTTTATTCTTTAATGTTTTACTGGAAACACCTAGTGAGACTGGAGCCCACATATGTACGTTCCGGCGCGAGTTTTTTCTTTTACAAGTGACATATGAATTGTAATTGCAACGATAAATGCGGTTTAAGTGAAGTCATTTTTTCCGACAACGTCAAATATGGCTTATAACGTTTCGGAGTATTTTAATCAAAGTGTGCCATATTGTAAAATATACGCTTCATAAAGCTTCTATTGTCAGCGCAATTTAATTCGCTGTTACGGACAAGTGTTTTGCGTTATCAGATTAGATAAAGCATCAGTTTACAGGTATTGTTTTCCAATTAATTGTGATATATAACAATAAGTGATAGTTTGAACATTCTTCAATTGACAGCCCAAGTCCGGTTTATTTTTTATCATCCCTCGTATGTCCTGAAGACTTTAAAATTTATTTCCATTTTTTAGACATACGTATATATTTATAAGGAGGATTAAACATGCACTATTTACAAGTGACATTCACATGGCCACTACAGTTTAATCAGGATGATAACGCTTTATCAGAAATTCGTGCTTAATTTATAGGCGGTGCTTAATATGCTAAGTGTTCTATCCCATGATTCAAATTATCGAATAAATATTTTTTCAATATTTTAATACTACAATAAATATTTTCAATTAAACAATATATATTTTTAAATATAGAACATATATATAGAAAATTATCGCACACAAATATTTTTTTTATGATGAACAAATATTCAGTAGGATTGAATATATATCGTGGTATAAAATTAGAGTTATACAATATAAATATTGGATATAGGCAAAAATAGATTTATTGAATTTTGAAACGTTTCACATGCCATACGAGTATATATGTATTGTTTGCCTAGATATATTGACTGACAAGGTGCGAATTCATTTGTTCATGTATCAGGATTGGTGGGAATTTAGATTTCTCAGGAGCGGCTTTTTGTAAACTAATTACTTTATTGTTGAGGACATAATAATGTCTTAACTTGTGTAGGGAGTCATGAGAGATGTTGCATCATTCAATGAATCAATGAATCAATCAATTAACCAATCAATCAACCAACCAATCAATCAATACGATTCTGCAATTTTAATTTATTTAATTTTGTCTACATTGATCTCCGGTTCATTGGTCTCACCTTTTCAATAATTTTGTAAGCTGTCTAGAAAATGAAATTAACTGATGGACAAGTCATGAATTTTAATCTGAAAATTTTATGTATGAATACAATGTATTTACATCATTATAATTATATTAAGACTGTTTGAAAAACTTTCAATATTATTTCTTGAACCAGAAAACGATACGTATTTTGCTAAAATAAAGAAAATATTTAAAAAAAAATGTTACAGATCTCATTCTATATGTGTTTCGTATAACGATATGGGACGGAGGAGACTAGTACAGACATATAATACAACTCACCAGGAGATGTAATGGTTAAGGGTGTCTGTCTCTCAGCCCAGAGGTCTAGAGTTCGAGCCTTAAAGAGGTGACGGCCATGTTTCCCATAGTGCAACGGTACTAGTTTGTTTCAGGATGCGGACTCGAGAGAATTTCAAATAAATGAATTTGTTTAGAAACCATTTAGGAAGATTTTCCTTCACCAGTGGTTTCATAAAATGAACAGGATGATACTCCTGTATCAAGATGTTTTTATCACAGAACCCCGTATACCCTGTCATATATATAATTCTGTTTATTTTATTTACCACTATTAAAAGAGAAAGAAGCCGAAATTTTCTTCGCCGTTAATTGAGTTGTTTATTTTCAAGATACCTTTTGAAGAGATTTATTTGAAATTTGGTAGAAAATTTGTTCATTACACTATACCCTTTTATTAGTATTCAAATACAGAATAATTCTTTTTTGTTTGGGGGGGGGGGTGGGGAGGAAATGTTTCTTTGACCTATCTTATTTTTGTTCATTATTTGACAATAAAACACTTTGATGAACATTGCTCTCCTTTTTTTAGTTTGCGTACATCTTTTTATTATACCCTTTTTATTGTTTTTTCTTTTATTACCTAAATATTGTTATATTAACTGTAACAGTAGAAACACATTACATCATAGAACTGCACACTATCCCGCTCAAAAACATGATGTAATGATGATATTGTTTATATACATGTATAAATCAAACGACGTTTAAATATACACTTGTTTCACAGGGCTTAGATTGTGTGTAACAAAGAGCTACATTGTATGTTTTTCTTCACATTTTTCGCATCACAAAAAATGGGTTGAAAAACGAGAAGTAGATCTGGAGTTTATAAAAAAACAACAAAAATACAGAGAGCAGACGAACTTCTGGTTTCATGTGTCAAGCTACCACGTGTCTGAATTTCACGTATATTATGCTACTATGATAGCTACGATTAGTTGTTATCAGCACATCGAATTATTGCTATTGTCCAACAATATTGACCTCGCACCTCATTAACTTTCGTAAAGGTCATTTGAATACACACTGACCAGTATCTATCGAATATATCGATATATTTGCTAACTTCACTCGTCAGAGAGGCGTGGTGTATTGGTATAGATGTCGGACTAATGATCTGAAGGTCACTGGTTCGATTCCTTACCAACACCATGTTATGATTATTTTTTTTTAATTTACTTGCAAGAATTAAATTTGAAATCGGTTTACTACAACTGCTTTTAGAATACATTTTAAGTGGTGGTTTTTATACACAGTCATATATTTTTATTGTATTTATAGTATCTTTCAACGTTTCTCTTGTTGACATTATGCAATCGTATATACTTTAGCGCATACACGCTATTAAGATACAACACAGATAAAACGTTTGCAATAGTTTTAAGAGAATGGCAATTTAAAAATTAAAATAAAAAATAATTCGCTGAACTAGGTTTCGAACTTACCAGTTAACGTCTACATTCCTCAAATGAAATACCTTTACCAACTGCGCTAAGAGGGATTTTTGTTTTACAATATTGAAAATTTTGATATCTATATTTATATCGATTTACAAGTGGATCGTAACGTTTACGGAATATACCGACTACAGGGTCAAATGCAAGAGTGCCAGGTCAATGTTGTTGTACAATACTCCCCGGTGTATTTAGTAAACACTTTACATTGAGATGTTATTCTATAAAATATATTTCTCCGACTCATTTCTTTCTAGTTAAAGAATATAACCAAGCGTATTTACATAAAGTCATGTGGCGTAATAATGAATTGTTTCATATTCTAATTTCAGTATTGTCACAATACTGCAAAACAATATATATACAGCTGTATGAATGTTATCATAGTTTTACATAAATTCGTATAATGCGTGTTTATGTATAGGATATCGACCGAGTACGAGGTCTTTCTGTTTAGGAAAGACCTGGTCACGACTTTCATGTGACACCGAGAGCGCGTAGCGCTCGAGGTGTTTCATGAAATTCGTGACCAGGTCTTTCCTAAACAGAAAGATCGTTACCTACCGGCTCCTTTGTTAAAAGCGGTCTAGTAAATCACTTACCGACCGGTTAACAGGTCTGCAAATAGATACCGACCGGTTATTGTTCTATTGTTCTCTATACAATAGAAAATATGTGAAGTCGAGAAACTCGTGCATTACAGTACACAATATTCACCGTAAAATAACGCTGAATTGTGGGGGAGGGGGGTGGGGATAATGACCACTTTGAATAGGAAAAAGGGTCGATATATATTTTAAAGATAAATCGAAATAAATTAGCGCATACGGCTGTAAGTACCCTCATAACTTATATTCCAGATTATTTGTGAGAAAAACGAACTGGCTACTGTTCTGGTGTTGAAGTTTTGTGTTTCGCCATATTAATGAGTATAACAACGCATATAAAGCCTTTCTTTAAAGTTTGCTTTTCGGTATACCTAACACATTTGCCGAACTATATAGCTTCATAAGATACTAGTTTTCGGCATTTATTTCCACAACTATGTCTGAATTTGCACAATCCTGCATTATTTTAACAATTCTGCATTATAGGATATATACGACGATTATATTATTGGTGCATATCGAATCAAAGTCAACTTCTGCATCTTTCTTTCCCAAAATATTACTTTCAGTGAGAGTATAGTTCATCTTAAGTATACGACCGTTTTTCTCATTTTTCCCAGTTATTTTTACATTAC